GCAAGTAAACAGACTTCATTCATGAATAAATGCTTATTCATAAAAATATGATTGTTGTGTGATTATTAGTGTGATAGCTGAAAGCAATCACACTCTTGTTGTTTCCAGTATTTATTATTATTATTGTTTGGAGATGGTTCCTATACAAATACAGAAATTCTGCTCCCAACTAGGCCCAACGTTGCAATATTACAACATTTCTCTAAAAACGTACTAAAATGTAAAAATTGTGAAAACTCTTTAATTCCTACATCAGATGCCTCCTGAAACAATATCTGAGAGGTCAAAAAAAAAATTTGCCCATTTTTTCTATATTTGGTTCTTACAGGGTTAAGCCTCTTTTAGAGATTTTAAAGGCAGAATACGGCTTTTGTTCCCTTGTAATTTATGTACTGTAGCTTTTGTACCTGAGGGCTAAAATTCTGCATTTGCAGAATATGTAAGATTATATTTAAATACATAAGCTAACACCAAAGTTCAGTGTTAAACCATATGAGAAGCCACTCACACTGATCCAATTGAAAACCAATAATATCACATGAGCTGAACAACTAAAAAAGATATGTTTAGTCTCAAATCTTTATCTTTTTTTTAAACATTATCAAGCCTTCCATCCCAGGCTGACCCTGTCTTTACTATCACTGCTGTTTATCAGCCATCCTTCGCTGCGGTGAGTCACTCCAGTACCTCTGGGTGAAAGACTGCTAGGAAATCATCTACCACTCCTGCCACACCCAGAGAGGCTCAGAGTGTTTTCCATTACCTAAAAGGGCTATCCTTTCACTACCCCCACCCCAAAACACACACACACACAGATCTAACCCTGATGCAGGGTGATGTGGCCCATTATCCTCTGTTTAGTAATGTCAGGACACATTTTGAACTAACACTTGCACTCCCTTTAAGGGTTTTTATGCATTAGGAAAGGGAGAAAATGTGGAATCAGTGAAATGTTGTAACACACACACACACACACATACAGACAAGAAATTGAACAGTTTGTGTGTTTTAAATAGGGAATTCCATAACATTTCATCAAGGCTATGGAGTGTAACCTGGATTCCCCTTCCTTGCCTCTCCGTCTCCTTGTGTCACCGCCCTGCTCTCCTCTTTCTCTTCGTCCACTCACACTGTGCCATGTTCAGACCCACATATACAGCAGACCCACTGACTGAATTATTTATGTCAGTGTTAGGTATTTTTAGTCAGATAGATATTGGATAGATAGTTTATGTATTAGAAATGTTTAGTGGAGATAGGATGTCTAGTTAGACTGTTAAATGCTTAGTCATGCTTATGAGTTTCTACAGGATACATCTGGTCAAGGATAACTAGAGAGAAGAGTTGATGACTGTCAGCAGACAGGATGTTTAATATTATTATTATGACGTGTATAACTGTAGCCTTAGCCATAATATGTTCTTATGTTTAATGTCACGACATGTTACTAGAGGTCGTGAGAATGTTTTTAGTTACACACCACTTAACCAACAGACACATTCACACATTGATTTGCTTCATGTTTTGACTACTGCTATGACCAGCTGCAAAGCTGGTAACAGAGACGTCTCGGTTGACGTTTCTGTGTAGTATGGGGCTAGCCCAACTGAGGGGATATAATGTATAGGCCTGGTGGGTTCAGGGTCTTTCATCTTACATCTGCCTGCGAGCAGTTTGGAGGTGCAAGATACTTGAGCGTGTAATGTTAATTTTACCTGTGATCCTATGAATAAATCAGCACTGTTTTGTAGTTACTTGGACTGTCTCGTCTCTCAGAGTCGGTATGGTAAAAAGTACCGGGTACAACATCAGGGAAGGATAATGTGGCAGCTTGCTGCTTTTTGTGTGACCAGACACAGGCTAATGGCAGCAGCAGCAAGAGACAAGGTTAGATCATACATACAGACTGTTTGCAACCCGCAATAAAAACTGCCAACTGCAACAACTGTGCTTTATGCTTTTATAACCAGGTATATCCAAGTGGTCTCTTGAACTTTTAGTTTTTAGAAATGATGGTCAACAAAGACAAAATACTGTGTCATAAAATAACTGTTGTTAGCAGATAATTATTAGTGAAATTATCAGTCAAATAAACTCCAAAGAGCATTTTAGCCTTGTTTTAAGCTCCCTTTAAATAAAAAAAAAAAAAGTCTAATGAGGAAAAACAAACTTTTATTGGCCCACAAAGTCTGCTGTCACATTAGTGAACAATCTTAGGCAAACCAACTATATGCTACTTGCCCAGCACCAAACAACAAACCACACAAAGTTAGCAGCTAGCATTTCCTAAAGAGAAGCTAGAGTGTGAAATGGTTCTCACAGCCACGTGGGACTTAGGTTCATCAGGTTGACATAAACACACTTCAAATATAGAGAGACAAGTGTTTGCATTTATTTAAATACATGTGTTTTCCTAATGCCTCGTTGGTCTAGATTTTAACCCAAACACCTCTTCGTCTTGATTCTCAAGCTGTTTATCAGATTTCACTTGAAGGATGAAACCATATATTGGCTAAATGCAGGAGTTTACTTGTTACCATTGTCTCAGTAGCGCTGTCAATTTGTATTTCTGTTGTTGTTAGAATTTTTTTTTTTTGTTTGAGGTCTGGGAAAATGTCCTGTGGACAGTTGCTACTTCTAGAAGCCAGATGATTTAATTGAGTTTTCCTTGAGCAACCAGTCATATAGAGAGTTCCAGAAGGCTGTAGGCTGGAGACAGGCTTCTTTACATTTAACAGAGCTCATGGGTTGGTCACTACCAAACTTGGTTGTTTTTATGTTTGCACAAAAACATCAGGTCTGTCTGTTTACTGCTGTGAGACAAATCTCCACTTGTTGTCAGGATTGCTCATGTAATGTACAGCAGCAGCCTAGGGTCCTGTTTTAAATTCTACTTTAAATTTACTTCAAGCAAGAGGCAATCTGAATGACTCAATAATGAACATTTTTGTTTTTAATCCAAATTTGTAGTGGAGTTTCCCAGATGTGTGCACTGTTCCCTCTCACCTATTTCTGTCTGAGACTGACTCCAAGCACTTCCTCATAACAAGAAGAAGACCATTTGAAAGGCTGAATATATGATGTTGTGTCATGGCAGTGGGTTGAAAGCAATATAGCAGATGAACAGGCAGTGAGACGGATGTGGTGATGCTTTTGTATTGGTTTACACTTGTAATAATTATCAATTGCTTATGGTATCCTGAAATCATCTAAGACAAATAATTTGGATGAATCATGGGACAATGGGCCCCTGGGCAGAGACTCGTAAAGGCCCCCACCTCTCCTGCAATTCTGGGAGCAACACACAGATTGAGCAACCATTATTTGTAGTCCATTTATGTCTTCCTGTGGTTATTTTGTGTCCTTTTGTAATTGTTTTGCATCTGATTTTAGAGTCTATTTGCAGCTAGTTTTACTTGTTTTATGTCTATATTTTAGTTATTTTGCATCTCTTTGTAATTCCTTTTTTGTCATTTTCCATATTTTTGTAGTTGTTTTGCTGTGGTCAGGGTTCTCTTGTCTCTTTTTAGTAGTTTGTTTGTGCATTGCATCTTTTTTTCCTCAACTTTTAGTTATCAGATTGACTTTCCAACATAAAGGTTACAGGCTCTTCGAGGTTCTCTGGTCTAGTGGACCCCTGACACCTTGGGACCCTGGGCCTGTGCCCAGTAGGTCTTTTCAGTGACCCATCCACTGGGCAAATGTTATACTTTTTACTTCACTCAATTTGTTTGACAGCTATAGTTACCAGTGACACCTTACTTAGAGCTTTTAAATCTTTTCTGAAGGCAGACTTTTAATCCTTGGCTTTCAAAGTAGCACCAGAGTTCTTAAATGTTTGGCCTCTTTTAATCTACCTGCCTGTTTCTGTCTGCATCTTTTTATCCCTGTTGTTTTTATGATGGTTTTTTGTATTGTACAGCACTTTGGTCAGCTCTGTGTTGTTTTAAATGACTTTGATTTGTTTTGATTTACAGGAACAATTTTGCATTTGATTTTCTCTGATAAACTAAATAATTAAGTGTTCGTTTAGGGGTGGAGAAAATGATTTAATAAAATAATAGATCAGATGGAAAACGCATTGTCCCAAAACTGAAAACAGGTTTGCTCTTTAGCACAGGAATAGCTGACTATTGGAGATACATGGTTCAGTGTTTTTGCAGTGTTGCTACTTCTGCATAAGTAAAGGGTGTTGATTCTTCTTCCACCAATTCTACTTGCACTGTGTTTGTACTGCTGCTTAACAGGGCCCAAGTGCTGAAAAAAGACAGCCTGTGTAATAGACTTCAGAAAAATTAACTGCTCTTGGCTGAAGTCAACATAAACAAACAAACAAACATAAAAACAACTGCCAGAATGGGAAAAGAAGACCATTCTTGTTTTTAATAATCCCTATGGAAAAACTAATAGGAACGTTTTTAGCTTGTTTTAGATCAGAATTATAAACCTAGACTTACAAAGTCTTCCATGTCAGTGGGACTTGTGACATGCTGCAGGTGTTGCTGTGGCTCATTCTGGGCTAAAAGATGCCTGATGTGAAGTATCTTGGTAGCAGACCCATTCTTGCTCTGAAACAACTAGGTAATCGGTGTAATATTTACATGATGTTGTGTACTTTGTGTGCTATTTCAGGACAATAGCTTACTGTCAGTGGGTGGACAATGTAGAGGAGACCCAGAAGCTTCTGGCGATGAGTGGCCCTCTGAGCGACACTCTGAAGTGGCTGCTGAGCCACCTGAATGGCAGCATGGTACGCAGAGAGATGTACGGCCATGGCATTGGGCGCTTCTCCAAAGAGGAGGTCTACACTCTGATGGAGAAGGATATGAGGACCCTGGCCACACTGCTGGGTAGGAAGGGGACCATTGGGTGTGTGTACATACTGTATGTGTGTGTGCTTGTTGGATAAGCTTTCATGGAGCATCCTCTCCAAACCTTTGCTATTAAAATATATCTCATGAGGAATAGCAGTTACCTCATCAAAAGTATGAACATCAACGCCAGCGACAGCCTAAAGGAAAGTCACTCTGTTCAGTCAAGCACAGGAAGAAGCATTCATGTTGATATGAGTGAAAGAAGAGAACGTCCATCTATACAGCTTCTTAATTATTGATGGCATTGCCAGACCATAATGTCCACAGTGCAAATGCTGAATGGCATTAGGAGGCTAATGTGGACTTAAGAAGCATCAGGATTAATGAACAATACACCCTGACAAATCATTTCTGACAAATGATTTACTTTCCTCAGTCAACATACTAACTATTCATTCATACAGTACATGTGGTTTCAAGGCTTACCATGTGCCAGTATGAAACCATCACTGCTTCCTTTTTGCACTTGAATAACAGGGAAAGATCGTGATGTCAGCCACAGGGGTAAAAGTCTGAGAGTTCAGATGAAAACAAACAACTAGATGCTGGAAAGAAAAGTGTTTTGTATCGATCTGTTTGTGCATTTTCAAAGGATGAACACTTGTTGTAAAATGGAAAGTTATTGCCAAAGTGAATGCATCAGTTCTCTGCAAACATGTGGCTTCTCTTTTAATGCCTGCTCTTCCAGACTCAAGTGCCAGAAGTGTGAGTGTAAAATCTGTAGTTGCTGCCAGATGTGCGGCTCTTCCAGCTTCCAGATGAAATTAGTTTATGATGAAGTACATTTTCTAAAGGTGCAGTGAAGGAAGAGATAATTGATTTAGTGTAATTTTTAAGCCTACAAATACTTAATATTAACTATTTGTGTCTGGCTCTGCTTCGGCATCCACTTCAACATCTTTATTACCTTATCCTATGTGATACTAATGCTGTTTTAAGTTGCAACTGATCATAATTAGTATGCTTAGAGCTATATTTGATCATTTAATGCACTATCATTTTAAGCAATGCCAGTCCCCTCTGGATAAATAGTATTAAGGTTCTTGATGTTTAGACTTTTCATCTGGCACAATCTTAATTTATGACCAAACACCTGCAAAACTTATACATTCATGCATGCTCTCTCATCTCTGCCCTATAGGAGATAAGAAATACTTCATGGGCTCTAAGATGTCAACATTAGACGCTACAGTATTTGGGCATCTAGCCCAGGCTATGTGGACCCTACCTGGGACACGGCCAGAGCAGCTCATCAAAGGTCAGTGAATCACTACCCAGATATGAGTGAAGCAGAAGATCCTAATAATTAACTCTAAATCTTTTGTATATTTACTCTAGATGCTGCTGCTTGCTCCGGCCACTAGATGGCAGTGATGTTCTACTATAATGCAGTGTTCTTGAAAGATTTTCATCGTTGCTTTCACGTTTAGCAGGGGATATTTGAGTGCCATCATCAGAGAACAAAATAAATATTGTAATGTCACAAATTAGGATTCTCTGTTGTCATTTTGATATGTTATCATAATGATAAAGCTTTTACAAAAAGGGACAAGACAAAAAAAAACAAGCCCTTTCATAATCAATCTTTTGTGTCTTCTCTTTTTTGCATCCAACTCCTGCGTTTGTAAGTGTGTCTGATGTCTTCACAGGAGAGCTGATCAACCTGGCCATGTTCTGCGAGCGGATGCGGAGGAGGTTCTGGCCCGAGTGGTTTGTGGATGTGGAGGATCTTTATTATGATGGTGACAGTGAAAGCAGCAGCTGCAGCGGCGGTGGCTCCCCTACAGGCCTGCTGGACTTTGGTCTCTTCTCCAGGACTAACACTCTGGACGACAGTGATGTCAGCAGCCACTCAGCTGAACACTCACACACACACTCTCCAGACTCTGACCACTCGCTCTTTGACTCGGACGTTGGCACAGGGTCTGACAATGACATTCATCTTAAGGAGGAGTCAATGCCATCCCTGGAGGTTTGACCTGAAAGGCTGTGACTGGCTGGCAAATTGATACTGGAGCAATCAGCACCACAAGTTGTTGCGTGGTTTTTCTGAATAAACTGGTTGAAAGAGTTTGTCGAGATGACAACTCTCACAGCTGAAGGAAGTATTCCAGCTCCTCTACTTCCAATACCCGGCATATTATAGCTTCCTTGTGGACAGCCTGGGCATTAATTAGCATAAAAACTGATGGTTATAATAAACATGCTACTGTCCTGTATGTCCTCTCTCCTAACACCTGAACTGTCCCTGTGGCAGTTTTCTCTTTGCCTTATTTGTCTCATCCTAAAATGCAGAAGCTGGTGTGAAAGGTTAGCAGACAGAAAATATCTTCTGAAAAGTGCGTTGAAAACAAAAGGAGTGCTCCAGACAAGACAGGTGGCATTTCACTTGCTATGAAATGATGCAACTAATCACCGCTCTGCCATGTAACTTAACGCACAAAACCCATTAAAACAGGTGGAAAGTGATCATGTGGCTGAAAGGAACAGCTGGTGCATCTCGACTGTTAACTTTCCATGTGCTCGAGAAGACGCACCGTTGACACTGAGTGCCAGTGTCTACCCCAGACTGATCCTTATGTCATATCCTTTATGCTACTGTGTGGGGAAAGAATCTGTATCAAAAAATGATATGTCAGACAACAACACTATATCCACTAGTAGGTCTGTTGAATAGAAGTCAGGATAAAAGATTTGTGCCTGTTTCATTTGCTTATCCTCCTTGTTATTGAGGAGCTTGGAGTTTTTGCTTGACTAATTTCAGCATCCTTTAGGTTTTATTGAAGAGCTGTAGTTTTTCTGTTAGACCACTAGATGGAGTCATGAGTCAGCCCCGGTGTCTCCTCCATTCTGTAACATCAAGGTCATTCCTCCCAGAAGACCTGCAGTGACTCCTTTAGTCCTGAACATTGTGGTTTCCATTTATAGGTTACCTATCGGTGTGTGTAGCTGTGATGGGCAATTGCATGTACACTTGCATACTGTGACTGAGCAACAAATCAGCCTTAGCGCTCATACTAAGAAAAGGATGACAATACTCTGCAGCAGTTTTTGTTGTGATATAATTTATTATCAGTGCCACTTTAGTAACAATATTTCTATATGAACTTATGTGTCAAACATATATTTTGTTAATCTTTGCTTTTCTTATTTCTCTCAAAGAGAGATGCTGTTTTGCACCAGTGGAAAATGTTCTTTTCACTTTATTTCAGTGGGAACAGAGTGATGTGGGAATCCACAATAGTCCAAAGGAATGGGAAACATAAATGTGTATATCAGCAGTGCAGGATGCTGACTGCTTAGGTTGCCTGTGTGTGTGTGAATGCCATCAATGAAGTAGTTTATGAAAAAGGCTTTGCAGCGACAGTCAGAATACCAATGGCCCTTAATATTGTTAAGTGGGGAATCTTGAGTAAAAACTTACAAAATTATGTCAGGAAGTGTTTCACATTTGTCTGTCATATTACACTTGGTGGTTATGCTCCTATTGGTACAGTATGATGGCTGTGAAAAAAACTGTGATGGATATAGAGTAGATGTGAATTAGATTAAAGGAATAGTTCACCCAAATTACAAATATTTTTACTCACTTACCTGCAGTGGTACTGAATCAGGTACATAATTTTAGTTTTGATTCCCTGAGTTTTGACATACAGTGGGTACGGAAAGTATTCAGACCCCCTTAAATTTTCCACTCTTTGTTATATTGCAGCCATATGCTAAAATTATTTAAGTTCATTTTTTTCCTCATTAATGTACACACAGCACCCCATATTGACAGAAAAACACAGAATTTTTGACATTTTTGCAGATTTATTAAAAAAGAAAAACTGAAATATCACATGGTCATAAGTATTCAGACCCTTTGCTGTGACACTCATATATTTAACTTAGGTGCTGTCCATTTCTTCTGATCATCCCTGAGATGGTTCTACACCTTCATTTGAGTCCAGCGGTGTTTGATTATACTGATTGGACGTGATTAGGAAAAGCCACACACCTGTCTATATAAGACCCTACAGCTCACACTGCATGTCAGAGCAAATGAGAATCATGAAGTCAAAGGAACTGCCTGAAGAGCTCACAGACAGAATTGTGGCAAGGCACAGATCTGGCCAAGGTTACAAAAACATTTCTGCTGCACTTAAGGTTCCTAAGAGCACAGTGGCCTCCATAATCCTTAAATGGAAGACCGCAACCACTCCTGACTGCACTTAATTGCATACACCACATCACTCTGTTTGTGTCTGGGTGTTTTGTCCTTCGGGTGGACCAGTCTCTACCACAGGGTGTTCCCTGGTTTACAGTTAACTGGGATATTGTGGTTGTGAAAGATCCTTTTTAATTTCTCTGATAAACCAGCCACATAAGGGATGACAGT